TGAGTCTTAATGTGAGGTTAAAGTCTTCTGAAGCTGGTAGTATTTCTTGATGAACTGTTTCTCCCAGTGTCTGTGGCGTAGTCTGGCTGGCTTACCATCAGGCCTCAGTTGTGCCAGTATTGTTTTCACATCTAGTTGTGGAGGCAAAGGTGGTATGTCCTCAACATGACTGCAGTCTGAATCTGAAAAATTGTAGTTGCCTTTAATGTAATAAACAACTATACATGTACTGATTGTCACTCATAGAAATAAGTAAAGAGATAGGACATAACTCATCACCTTCATCATCCTGTACACTGCGTCTCATTGGGTCACTGCTTGCTGTTGACTGTCTGATCACCTCCGTCCACCTGTGGGGGTCAGATGCAATGGACTTCATGCTTGCTATACCTAATATCTGTCCAGCCAGTAAAGTTCTGTATCGAGCTCTTTCTTTGTCTGCCAATTCTCCCCCCCCCCCCCTCCCCCCTTTGTGCCTTGTAGTACTTTTTTTTTTTTAGACATGAATATGGAAATACTGCCTGAGACACACTATGTTTGACTGAACACACACAAGACAACATAAAAATCAAAAGCTAAAGTGTCCATGCCGGTGTCCATGGCACCCAGTGGTGATGTGGTAAGCATTATGCCAGTCACCTTGACTTTCCAGGATATTGACTGTTACCCAGTTCCACTGGGTTGACCTAGGAGCAAAGGTCTTTAGTGAAAAACAATCTGACTAAATGGGGATTTGTACCAAAGACCTTCAGGCAGTGAGCGTTTAGCCAAATACGCTAACATTAGCCCATCTAAATATGTCTATGACTCCACATCTTAGGATGGAATTTCACCAGAAAGATCACCTATTATGAGCATATTGGTCCCTTTTTCTTGAAGCCCCAGACCAAACTGTCATGATTTCTGATAAAATATATTCATCTTGAAAAATACACAGTGCAAGTTGTCATTTGGAAGCCAGATTTCTTTAGCAAGCATGCAATGACTCAGTGAAATACATACCACTGTTAAAAAAACCATACTGGAGAAAAGAGTTCAAGGTAAGAGACAGACAGCAGTACAATTGGGAGGATAACACAAGGAAGACTGGCAAACAAGTAGCCTCAGAAAATGTACGGCCAAGATGTGAGAGAATGCTGCCAGCCTTCATTGAAAAAAACGGCACCTGATTGATTGCATATCTGACCAAATGTGAAAGGTCAGAGAAGACATTGTGTGACATTCCTGATACATAGAAAATAGCACATGACACATCTTATGTTGCTCAGGATTGAAAGTGTTGATTATGTTGATGAGTCTCACCTGGAGATTGCCAAAATTCAACAGTAATGAGGCTGTGTCCAGCAATCCAGTCTCGGGCTTCATGAAAGTGGTTACAGTCCCACAGGGCTACGTGGCCTCTGGGCATATTCTTTTTCTGAGTATATGTGATCACACGCAGTATTCCTTGCTTGCCCCAAAAGTTCTGTTGGGAAACCAAACACAAACTGAATAACTTTATTGAACTGATTTAAAAATTGACATACATAGCACATTGGGCATGCCTGACTGACTGACTTTCTACCCCACTAGGACATCACACAAGCGATAAACACCCGATGAACAAAGTAAAGCGGAGAGGATCACCGTGGAGAGGTCCCAGCTTTCAGACATTTGGCCATAATGATGACCTGCCTATATTGCGGCCCCTGGCAAAAGCCAGAGTGGGGCTTCAAATAACAAAAAATTACGTCCTAAGAAGGACGTATAGGATAATAACTATAATTATTTTTGGGCATGCCTTTATATCAGAAGACTTTATAGTCAGAAAAAAAAAAGTTTGCTTTCATTCCCTCACACTTTTATTGAACAGATCTACAGAATCTTACAGCAGTTATATTATAAACTGTAATGGAGATACAGCGCAAAGCCACTAATTTTTTTTTTTTTACTTGGACTAACTGGGATATATTTTAGTTACTTTAGTTTAGTCGACGGATCAACTTCATGGCACACAGGTGTAAACCCATAAGTGCTTATCTCTAACTCAAGCCTGAGTTTGAAGAATCTTAGCGCAGTATGCCAACCTGTTGCACCGGTGAGGATCCTGAAATACTTTTTGGGTAGATTTTTAACGACGAAATTTTGTCCAGGCAGCGCCGTTAGGCTACTCCCAAGGTATTTGTTTTACGTGCACAAAAAATACACATGGAAATAAAGAATACATATTTTATAAATTGATGATGAAACTATATGTTAAAGTGTTGAGGAAGCTTGACCTTGGACTGTTTACTCCAATTCAAAATGAAAACACAGTGGGACAGTGGTTTTAAATGTATGGTGTTCATCTCTAAATTTGATGGGGAAAAAGAGCCAGGGGAATAGAAAGAGGTAGATACCTGGATGGCTGGACAAGGACACAGACCTGATTCATGATTGTGATGATTGTATGAGATTGCAAACCATGATTGCCTGTTTTTGGGCGTAACGTTTAATGATACAAAGCAAGCCGGCCAGATGAAAATAATTATTTAGGATTTGTATAAAATAAGGAACCTGCAAATGAGTATAATTACTAAGTAAATTTATGAAAATGAAATGGGTCGAATTCGAAGAAAGGCGAAGACATAAGAGAAAGGTGAGAACAGTAAACTACAGTATCTACAGTTAATATATAGGTGAAGGATCATTTTCCACACCTGTAGGCATATTGGGCATATAGTACCTGACCTGTATTTTACAGCTCAATCAGCACTTGATGAGTGACATTGTCAACAATACACATACCACCTTTGCTTCCCATGACTCTACCTGTACCCATTTATGGCAGGGTCGATCTGGAAGCCAAGGTCGTTTCTAAAAAAATCTGGTTCCTTTAGGACTTGTACCCATGACCTTCAGATCCGCAGGTGAGCATCTAGCCACTACATCATGGCGGCTGCTATTGATGTATTGGGGAAAATGATATACAGGAGAAATTCTAAGATGGACATTGTTGAAAGAGGCCAAAGGTGCTGGACTGGATTCCCTCCTGGACACTGAAAGGATTGCACATGATAATGGAACAGAGGACTAGGCTGTGAACTCTTTGTGGTATGTAATGGTACAACATCAGATGATGATGTGTGTGTATTTTCCCATAGAATGAAGTTCATGTCCTCTCAGCCTTGTAAAGCACTAGAATCTGTTAGGAGAAGACAATATATATATTTTTTCTGATCCAGTATCCATGTAACATCTCCAAAGGAGAATCGAAGGGCTCTTCTTCTCTCTAAGCTTAAAAAAAAATTAAGGGATGCGCAAGTAAGTCTATGGAGAAATGTGTTAGGATGAAACAAAGTCATAGTTCAGCAATTATTTATATAAAGACTGCCCGGGATTGGGCCGAGGCAGGTATCGTGGACAGCCACTGAAAACAGTTTTAAAACAAAGGTGGCACATATTTGACACATCCTGAGAAGAAGTGGGCAGACAATCACCAAACAGGCTCTGAAAATAGAAAAACAAAATGGATTGGGGAAATGAGGACATCCAAGTGAAACCCTAAATTGGATGTTGATGAAAGTTATTATTATGGAAAGTAATGGCAAGTTATGGAGTGAGCGAACACCTCTTCGAAGTGTGCAAAAGTTTATACAGGGATTGTGGAAGTGTAGTTAGAATAAATCAGGGAACATCTCATCCATTCTCAGTAACATCTGGAGTAAGACAGGGGTGTGTCTTATCACCACTGCTGTTTATCACCTACATCAACAGTATATGCAAGAATGCCAAGTCCATGAATGAAAATGTTAGTAAGATCAACAAATTACTCTTTGCAGATGACCAGGCCTTGATAGCAGATACAGCCATGAAATTGCAACAACATCTAACATCAATGAATGAAGAATGTAAAACAAATAATATGAGAATCAACACTGATAAGACAGAAGTAATTTCAATAGGAAAAAAAAGAAGACAGATCTAAACATAGCAATGGAGTGCAAAGGCATTAAACAGGCATCTGAGTTTAAATATCTGGGAACTACATTTACCAAAGATGGGAAATTGGATAAAGAAATTAACATTAGATGCAGTAAAGCAAACCAAGTATTATGACAGCTCTTACATAAGACAATCCAAATCAGCACAAAGAGACATCTTATTCAAAGCATATTTATTCCAACTCTGTGCTACCAGTGCCAGACATGGTCACTCACAACAAACCATAAAAGTAAATTAGTAACCATGGAAATGAGATGTCTGAGAAGGGCTGTAGGAGTGACCATAAGAGATAAGATCAGGAATGAGATCATAAGAGAAAAAGTCGGCACAGAACCAATTCTAAATTACATACAAAGACAGCAAGTGAAATGGTTTGACCACTTAGAGAGAATGCCTTGTCACACCATACCATACAAAGCATACATGGAAAGAGAAGAAGGACGTAGAGCACGGGGTAGACCAAGAACAAGATGGAAGGATAACATCAGAGAAACTCTACAACAGCACGATGTGCCTATGGTCAAGGCGGCTAGAAGAGCCAGAAACAGAACCTTATATCTCCCTCGACACCCACAGCGGTAAAAGAGGAAGTGAAGAAGAAGATCAAAGAAGCTGCAATGGATACCATACATGATATTAAAAGGACTACACAGGATTGGACGGAAAGGAAAAAAAAAACTGTGAGCATATGTAACATATATGTAAGTTGTACCCCACCAGTACATCACACAAGGGATAAACACCCGGTGATACAAAGTGCCACCATGCGGATGATGATCACCCGTGGAGAGGTCCTGGAAACCCCGTTCAGCCGCTAGGCTATATTTCAGGCCCGACTATATTTAGGGCCCCCGGCAGAAGCCAGGGTGGGGCTTCAAAATAACTAAAAATTGCATCCCACAAGGGGAAGACGAGATATGTGTAACATTTGTGACACGGCAGGATGATGCTAATGGTATCGTTTTCCCAAGTTTTGGGTTGTTCATTATCTACACTTCAACTCTCATGCCCAAAGATACATTCCAACAGTACCCTACCTTTTTGGTGTCCACTGGATCCAGTTCATGAAGTTTGGATACGTTAGGATACCCATACTTGTCAGCCAGATATGGCCCATAAGCGATTGGGTGATAGATATACTGCAAGTCATCCCTCCCGGTGACACTGTCTCTGCCATATTTAGACAATCTTATCAACTCTTTGCCCAGTGAGTGAGCACCACCGATTCTGTTCAGCGCTACCGAGAGGCGGAGCGCACTGGTGTCCTGCAGGAGCATGCTTGTGTTGCAGCCAATGGCGTCTATCAGTTCGTGGTTGGTGACCTTACCTCCATAGTGGGCGTAGCCAGGGTAGTTTGTTTTTAATTTAGCAAACGATGGAATCTGAGGAGAACAAATAAACTCAATGGTTAGAGAGGTGATACTGAAAGATTCGAATGGTCACTTCTATATGTTGTCTGTCACTCTACCCACGCGTCTGTCTGTCTATCTGCTCTAATCTGTTCATTCATCTATCCATCCATTGTAATCTGTCTGCCTGCAAATTTCTACCTCTCATCCATCTCTCGGTGTCATTTTGTCTGGTTTTCTGTCTCGTAATTCAGATGTACAATTTGGCAGTCTACTTCACTTTTACTATGACTTATGTTAGGTCACAATACTAAAAGGTAAGGTCACACCTCTCTTCCTTGTCACCTTGTTTCTTCTCATAAAGACTGAAATTGAAACTTTAAGTTTCTACAGTTGGGTTAGTTCAAAGTGTAACCAGACTGAAAAATAAACGGTTTAGAAACGACTATAAACGAATTTGGCATGTAAGAACAGAGAAGTACAGAGAGATGTGTTGCTTCTGTGTTGGCAGACGAATTCGTTCTTCTTCTTCTTCTTCTTCTTCTTCTTCTTCTTCTTCTTCTTCTTCTTCTTTTTCTTCTTCTTCTTTTTCTTCTTCTTCTTCTTCTTCGTCATCGTCATCTTCTTCTTCATCATTTCAAACCTTTGATGTTCATTGCTACAAATATCACCTGCCTCCATTCATCTCTGGAATTTACCTACTCTTTCCATTTGTTGACTCCAAGTATTTGTATGTCTACCCATATATTATCTCTCCAATTTCTGTCTTGTATTATGCTCCCGTTCATTACTGTTTCCTCCCCGCCCCCTCCCGCCCCCCTCATATTCACTACACCTAGTATCATCAACATGTGCCATTTTGATAAGGGTGGGTCATTCGTGGTTCGTCATCTCACACAATCATCAGTCTCTAGTCTTTCTATTGTAATTCGTTTTTGTGTTACCTTTTTCTGTGAGATAACCAGGAGGTCTGCGTGGTCTCGGGGCAATGTTGTTCGCCTCGAGTGCTAGAGGTTCCATGTTCAATCCCCGGTAAGGGTTGTGATTTTTTCACGTGAACTTGGACTTCTAGCAATTCCTCCTGGTCTCTGGGTAGTGAGATCGGACGTGAAAAATTCCTTGGCAGTTGGAAATCGAAAAGAGTAGCCTAACGGCGCTGCCTGGGCAAAAATTTGGAGTTGAAAACCTACCCAAAGTATTTCAGGATCCTCGCCGGTGCTACAGAGTCTATGCGCTGTACTGAGCTTTTTCGGACTTTAGACTTGAGTTAGAAGAAGAGCGGAGTACTAATGGTTTACTATCCATATGCCATTGTTCAAACTTCAAAACTGTGATATAACCTTTGGTTCTTTGTTCTTGATATGCTTGGAAAGTCCTTGCTTTGAACATACTAAAGTATTACTGCAATGTTCATTCACGTTGTTTTTCACCTTCTGCGGTAGAATTATTAACTGTATCATATTTAATGTACATATATTACGCGTATTTTGTATATACACCCAGTTGGAAGTATTGGGTATTGAAGTAGAAATACTAATTCCTTTAGTACCAAGTGCTTGTTTCTTTAACTCCTCAGTTCCAGCAATATGTGCCATTCTGTCCGCGTATAAAACGCCCCCCCCCCCCCCTCCCCCATAAGCTCGATTTCTTAAGTCCAAAATCAAGAAAAAAATATTTTAAATAGATTCCTGTTTTTTTTTTTTTAAATATCCAGAAACCATGAGTTTTTACGACACACTCCTAGTTTTAAACTGGGGGGGGGGGGGGGGGAATATGTCGTCTTATAAACGAAAATATACGCTACTAAGGGTGACTGCGTTCTGAGAGAGAGAGAGAAAGAGAGAGAGAGAGAGAGAGAGACAGACAGACAGACAGATAGAGAGACAGAGAGAGTAAGTGAGTTGAAATAGTAATTCAGTTATATATTCAGCATATATTTAACTTATGTCCATGCTAGAAGAAAACAAGAACATCATATTATCTTTGAAACGAACAGGAAAACCATGGGAAGTTCTTAGCTATTGAAAAAAAAAAATGCGACATGCAACTTCGTGAAGCGCTGTGTGTATTTTGGAAACCGCGGCAGTGTAAAAGCTAGACGCCTACTAGCTGAAACAAGTCGTTTTTTTTTTTTTTTTTTACTTTAACCTTGGCTTACAGATCCTAAAATTCCCCGTGTGGGTTGCGGGGCCCCATTGTGGGAAAAACAAGTATAGACCCCACTGCCTACCCAAAAGTATGTAGTAAGAGTTGACTAATTGGGAGCTTCCTTCGAAGTCGGAGTGAATCTGTCTGAGAGGCAAGGAACCAACAGTCTACATTCAAGTGAATCAGATCTGTAAAACTGATGCATACGCAACACTCAGGTTCTGGAGCAGGACTGCAGTTCAGAAGTGGACGAACAACCAGAACTTTCCACCAGAGTTTACAGCTAGTGAACGCGAAGAAGAAGAAGAAGAAGATCCTAAAATGGGTACCATGAAATAACCTGGAAGGCAAAGACGGTCATCGTCATATTGACCACATTACCCTCCAGTTGATCTATAAACGTGAGTTTAGCATCATATGTCACATTCCCCACTGACGTAAAAAGGCTCCTTTACTGTATGTGTACCTCCATTTGAGAAGTATATGACATGGGATGCCCCTTCTTCTTCAGCATTCCGAGCCCTTAAGTTTCATTGCTGCAGATATCACCCGCCTCCATTCATCTCTCTGTTTGGCTTTCTCTTTCCAGTTGGTGACACCACATGTTTTTAGGTCTGTGTGGATATTATCTCTGCATTGTCTTCTTGGTCTGCCCTATGGTGTACGACAATTCAACTCCCTTGTGTACAGTTGTTTAACCTTTCTGTCATCTGGCATTCTCTTAGTATGCCCCAGCTATTTCTGTCTATTGGCAATCATGATGCCAGTGATCAACAATGATTTAAACATTAGGAATTTCGTTGTTGCTTCTCTTTCTCCTTTTCCCGCTGTTTGCATTTTTGATGAGTCCAAAGATTCGTCGGAGGACTGCCTTCGAAAATATGTAATAAGGCTTTACAACTTTTCAAGTGTCATTGCCAAATAAAACGACGTCTTAACATCGTTTTATATGTTTTGATCTTAATGTTGCGAGATAGAGACTTTGACTTTAGCAGAGGTTGAAGGGCATAGTATAATTTATTTCCAGATTGTACTTCTTCTGTCAGCTTGTTGGAGCAGTTGAAGTTTGCATCCAAGTACTTATATGTTTCCGTTCGTTTGATTTTCATATTATCGACTTGTATGTTGCCGGGGTTTATATTATTTCCCTGTCTTGATATTATCCTATATTCTGTCTTATCTTTATTGATAACTAGTCCTATTTTGTGAGCTGTTCCTTTTAAGAGTCATTCTTTTTACTGTCTCTAGATCATTTTCTCCGATATCAATGCCATCTGCATAACCAAAAATTCTTGTAGTTTCTGCTACAGTACACTCTTGTTTCAATTTCCTTATAATTGTCTCCAGCGCCAAGTTGGAAAAAAAAAGGGGAAACAGAGCATCACCTTGCTTTAAACCAGATATTTGAAAAGGGTCTGACTTTCTGACTTTTTATGTAATTATATTATAAATATACTATAATATAGGACATTTGATTCGATGTATTAAATTTATGTAGCTCCGTTTGGATCATGGGAGTCGACTTATCCCGTGGGTGTACCCCCATTTGAGAGTATGTGACATAGAAGTAGAAGTATACATTGGTTTTACCTTTATTTGGAAGTATAGGGGTACTATTTTACATTTATGTGCCTCCATTGGGGAGTATTGGATACTATTAAAAACATTGTCATAAAGAACGATTATTATTTTAAAAAAAAAACGGTATCGTAAAAACGACTAATTAGCCATTCAGTGAAATCAGACATGTTACACCGAAAGGCGCAGATATCACAACCTTTCGGTAAACCACAATACGACTTGCTAAAAAAAAAAAAAAAAGTAAAGAAAGTAAAGATCCCTTTCACGCCTTTAGGCGTATCGGGCATATGGGAAGAGCGCCCATATTTTTACAGACCATCAGCACTCGGTGGGTAATGTGGTCAGCATTACGCCGGCTGTCTTTACTTTCCCAGGACAGCCCATCCTGGTACCCATTTGAGGCTGGGTCGACCTGCGACGTCCCATACCACGATAAAAATCCACGCAGCCTGCAGTGGGACGACTTGCTAAACGCCATTTTAAAAGCCAACCTAGAAGACTGAAAAGACGAAGAATGGATATACTTCAGTTCTGAAGTTAAGGACACTGCTTATCGACGCATCCCAGTAAATTAATAGAAACTCAGAGTTCATACACCAAACCTCTTCAGCGACGCATGACCTAATAATTGTTGACACTCCATAAACACGATGATACCACCGCGCCAGGGCACATAATATAATTGCCAGTGAAAACTGCAGATTACCAGACCTGGTAGAGTCACAGAATCGATTTCAAGCACCCGGAAAGCATAAAAACGCGACATAAAAATTGTGCAAATAGACTCATTCTGTTGCTGTTTTGAAGCCTCTTACAGCGCTGGGAAAATGGAGCATTAATAAGTTTCGTCTGCAGTTCTGCCATTTGTGTTTATCTTGTGGGACTGTCTGTAGGTGCATTGTGGCAGATACCGTTGACAAACTGTTCCCAGGGTACTTGGACTGAATCCTAGGATGCACCGTTTGAGTTATTGCTGACGTTTTCCTGCTGTGTTTTTGAGAAGCACTAGTGTAATTCTTCGTTGTCAAACCTGTGTGAAAACGCATTTTTCTTTCTCCTGTCCTGTCTGCCATGGGGCGTGGTGAGAAATAAAGGCACCTCGTATACGCTCTTAAAGTAGTGGGGTATGTGTATCCTCTCTGAGCTGCTACCTGAAGGGTTTTTACACCCTGAAATCAGAAGATCTCCATCTGGATGGCAGTCAGACATGACCTGAACGTTTGACACCATAAGACGAAACAGTCTCATGCTGGTGGTAGACCAACGGGCAAACCCGGATACCCCGTTCAGCCTCCAGGGAATTT